ATATATATATAGAACCCTAAAAGTACAACATAGAGAATATTCAAGGAAATATTTCTTTTGAAAGTTCCAAGGTCATACTAGCCGTTATTTCTGTTCCTGCTACTCGACTTCGGCCCAGATGAACCACACGACGGCTCATTCTTGTTAACCACTGATCGACCTCGGCCAGGCCACCTATAATGAGTTACAGTCGTCACGATAGTCACTTCTTCGTACCAGATTTCCTTGATCGAATTTTGGCCCATACAAAGCCTACGCATGATAATATAATAAAGATGAGGTATAGAGATAAACGAGCGTATCAAACGAAAGAAAACGGTTTGATAGACTCTTTGCTTAATTCATTTTCTATAAGTTTATGTAAGTTGCTCATGCCAAACTACTTTTTCATATTAACAAATTAGATGCAATATGTGTTCTCCAATTTTGTTTTTGATGATGAACCCGTACAATTATATCTTGCATTTATAAGAAGTTCTAGTGTATTTATGCTGGAACTCCATCATACTATGCTGGAGTTCCAGCATACTATCCTGGAACTCCAGTATAATATGTTGGAGTTCAAGTATACTTATGCTGGAACTCCAGCATAATATACTGGAGTATTTTTCGGGTTTTGAACAGTGTTTTCGCTCAGATTTATCTTTACATAAAAAGTGGCAAAATTTCAATTACTTTTGAAGCTATTTTTGAACGACCAGTTGTAAATCTGGCTATTTTTAAAAATCACCCTATCCGTTATACATTGTGATTTTACTCCCTCCATCTCAAATTATTTTTACTAATTTCTAAAAATAGTTGTCTCAAATTATTGTCAATTTAGAAGTTCAAGATAAAATTGCAAAGAGAGAAATATCATATTGGTATTATGGAAATGCAAATGCCTTGCATGAAAGTAATATTAATTCAACGATAGTGAAGTTAAAAAAAATTGAGTACAGTGTTACGTAATTTGGCTTAGAGCAAGAGCTTGCTGTTTCTTTAAAGAAGGTTGAGAAGCATACATGCTCAATTCGTCTCCGTGTCATACCAGATCAAGAAGCTGTGTCCAATAATACTATATGGTAATTAGCAAACAAAAGAGAGTCGCATATGATAGAATAACTGCTATAATTATTTGAGCATGTTTGAAGATTGAATTGAATGCATATTATTTAAATATAATCTGATGTTAGTGTCAGGCTTCACAACGTTATGTTGTGCACTCCCACCTACAATCTCATTGTTACAATATATTCCCCTTTTGAGTTATAACTTGAAGACTTGAAGGTAAGCCGGCGTATATACAGCCTTTGATCTACAAAATTGAATTTTTGTTTTCTACATTGACGGCGTTATAGTATGTATCGATTATTTTTTCTTGAACTAGAAATATCGGTAACACCACGATTTGGATTGTAAATTTTTAAGCACCAAATTTTTTGTGTTGCATCAAGTCAATATCAATTTGAGTACTACTATTATCTCTCTTTTTATTTAAAGTTTTAACTTGTTTCTCTGTAGTATATATATATATATATATCTCCCTGACTTTCGAAAAAAAAAATAACCGTATCTATTGGTATGTTCATTACTGGACAAACCTATTTGCTATGAGCCAATTTCATATTTTTGTTACTCTCTCCGTTTCATATTAACTGAGGTACTTTCCTTTTTAGTCTGTTCCAAAATAAATGATACATTTCTAAATTTGGAAATAATTCAACTTTAAACTCATCATTTTACCCATTTTACCCTTAATGAGAAGCTTTTATAACCACACAAAAGTCATGGCCCCACAAAGTTTTACCCCTTAAGTTTTTAAGACCACAAATTTCAAAAATCTTTCTTTATTCCCTTAAACTCCGTACCGAGTCAAACTACCTCATTTAATTTGAAACGGAGGGAGTATAATTTAAAAGGAATGATCTAACTCTGTTTTTTGGTGTGTGCCGCATATTTTAGTATTTCCAACACACATTTTCCAATAGATGCACGTTACGAGAACAATAATTGTTCTGACAATATCTAATCATTATGATCTCACCGTCGACAATCCACATTCATCACTCGTTAAAAATGTACTTTATTCTTCATTTATAGATTATTTGCTGAAACCTTTTTGTTTCAATAATATATTGCTTTTATCTTACACTACATGACTAGGTATACACACGAGAAACGAGAAATATAAATATATATATATATATATATATATATATATATATATATATATATATATTCTTGCCCCTTATATTTATAAAGGTTTGTATTTTGATAGAATTTGAATTCTCTCTGTTCCTCTTGAAAAAAAAAAATTGACGTACAATGCCCTCTTTCTTTAAGTTTCTTCTTTTCTTAAAAGAACACATTTATAATATCTTCCAAGTTGGAGTAAAATCTGTCATGAATCATACATAGAGCAACTGAAAATAAATTAGAATTGTATCCTCAGTCATTGTTTTGTATAAATAAGTGTAAAAAGTCACCACCAATTTACCATCGATACTAGACTGATGGAGCCCAATACATTATATGGATAGTGTGACACTGGCAGTTCGACAGGCATCAAAACTACTAGCAAAATCTAGAGGTGCATAACATTTAAAATGCATCTTTAATGCAAAAATGAAGTCGTGACCAACTCAATCAGATAGTAGCATTGTGCTGTGGCGTGAATTCAGATTTAGCCCCATTATTACAAACCAAAGGCATAATAAAACAGAGAAATGTACCTTAATACCTATAAGTAACAACTAAATTGCAGATAATTTAGAAACAATTTAGACCTTGGGCCTGCAAACTGGAATCTCGATAGTGCCCTCAAGTGAAATTACAACCTGAGCTTGAAAAGTTTCTTCATTCCCATTGTTGTTAACTTTAAAGGTAATGTAGTAGTTCCAGTCACGACATCCACCTGCATTCACCTTCACAATCCCCAGTACCTTGCGTTCTTTCCCCTGCAACCAATATTATGCAATTCAATATAGAGGAAGGGCAGGCCAGCAGGCAAAGAGCAAAACAAATGGTATAGATATTACATCGTCGGGAAAGTGCTCCTTGATTGCCATTGAAGCATAACCCTTGAGTTCATCTACAAGCTCAGGATCACGATCAAGTCTGCGAGTGGAAATTGGGCATATGGGAGCCTCCATGCACGGCCCAGGGTGTTGATCAAAATCAAAACCCTATTTAAGATAGACGAGAATAATCAGGTGAGATTTCTACAGTGAATGCATATTCAGTATTTGAAATCCAGCCGATTTGACCAAAGTAAGTAAAATCTAATCACAAATTATAGTTGAAAAATTGTATTACAATAGGATGTGTTACATGATTCTATCACATGCACAGCTTATGTGTGCAGACATGTACGTCTTTGTAGACAAAGAGGGTTAAAGAGAGTTTGTTAAGATTCTCCAAAATCAATTGTGACAGAAAAAAAATCATAGTGGATAGTTAACTGATATCATGAAAACTTATTGAAATACAACCAGCAGAGGTCTACCAAAAGCAGATTACATTTCCCCTTCAAACCCAAACTTTATCTTAGAGAGTGACCAATGCAACAACAATAACAACACAGTATAATCCCACTAGTGGGGTCTGGGGAGGGTAGTGTGTACGTAGACCTTACCCTTACCCTGGGGTAAAGAGGTTGTTTCCAATAAACCCCTGGCATCCCTACCTCCACGAACTCCCCACCTAGCTCTTGGGGTGACTCGAACTCACAACCTCTTAGTTGGAAGTGGAGGGTGCTTACCACTAGTGCAACCCACTCTTGTGAAGAGAGTGACCAATGCCCAAAACAAAAACATAAAAGAAAAAAGAAAAAGAGAAAGAACTGCTGGAACCTCTTTTTTTGTTGTTGAAAAGGTAAGTATTAAGAACTGCTGTAAATATGAAATGTAATTACATATAGACCTTGGAAATTCTATAGAGCAACTATTAAACTCCTTTTGCCTGTCGTTTAAAAGGAAAATTCCAGATAACGCTTTGTTCAATAGAAAAAGGAAAGAAAAGAACAGCTGTAAATATGAACTGTAATTACATATAGACCTTGCAAATTCTATTCATCAGGTATTGAATTCTTTTTGCCAGTCATAAAATTCCTATAGTGCTTTGTGTACTGCCCATTAGTTTAGCATTTTCTTGATTAACCCGTACAAAAGCAATAGGGAACACACAGGAATTTACAAAGATCCAGCAAATGGGTAGGACTAGCTCTTAGTCAATCCCCACAATTCCATCTACATTTACAAAAAAATTTTAAAAAAGAAATAAGAAGATACAAGGAGAAAAAGGTTCGGAGGTTGCAAGTCTGCAACAACACCAATATAATTGCAAAGGATAAAAATAAAGAGAGGTCGACACAATACTTGACAAATAAATTGAAGAACAAGAGACCACCAGATTCTGAAGAGAAATTACACGATAAATTTTATTTCCTTTAAATACACTTTAGGCCCATAAGATTCTTACCAGTCGGGCGTACTCCTCAAGAAAAAGGAAGTCAAAGGTACACCTCAAGACCCTATAATAATTCTTCCCCTTCTTCTTAGGTTTAACTCAAGAAAATGCAAATCAATTTTACACCTCAAGAAATACGGAAACATGTGGAACCAAAATTACATACGCCCAAGCAAGGATGCCTTGCATTTAACAAAAGGCCTAGATGCAGTTATGCCCTGTCTAATGCTTTCACAAATAGCGCTTCTTGCAAATTGCAATAACTTTAACATAGTAATTCAGTTCCAATCTGATGACAGAAAGTGAGTAGTCCCGAAGAATGATTCACCCTCCTACCTCATAGAGTGCAATGCCTCAGAATTAAGCACGTTTACTAGCTATATGAAAAATCTAAAATCAACAGATACGGAAAGAATAACCACCACCACCACCCAAAAAAATAAAAAGAAGAAAGTTGACATGCCAGCTTTACAGTAATAGATGCTCGATGAACCCAAAATGAGGAGTGACATGTAGAAGTGTTTGCACAGTGTTAAGCCATATTTGAACAAAAAAAAGGTACAGATTAATGTAAAACAAATAAACATCTACACAGTAGGCACTAACTAAACTAGACAAGTGGATGACAGAACATAAAGCATATCAAAAATAAGGTCTAAATAAAGAGAAAGAAAGAGATATCAGGGAAACTATATTTATTTCACGTATACACATATAAGTCATGCATTCCACAACACAAAGCAACAGTCATGTTTTTCCTTCTTTTTTCTTTTGGGGGGATAAGTCAAGATTTCCGTTACCACAGTAAGTTGGTGTCAGAAGCTTATACAGAATAGCTATGAACAACTTGGTTCAAGAAAAGGTATATACAAGAAAAGGTATATGTTACAATCAACTTGTTTCAAGAAAAGGTACAACAAATGCACAAACATAAAATCACATATCATATCTGAATCTGTGACATCTTACATGTATTAATTTTTCATTTGCTTTTGAACTGGAAATTAATTTATCATTTGTTGCATTCCAGTGTCATAACTTAACTGTAACAGTCAGAGGGAGTTGGACTTCAGCATGCTCTCCTCAAGTTAGATACCCGCTTTCTTCTTCCATCCAACACTCAACTCACCAGACCATGAGCAAATAGAAAAGGAAACAAGAATTCAAGGTACAACGATTACCTTCATATCAGCTTGGTCTAGATACAAGCTTATAAAATCTATATCTTTACAAGGTAGGAGTAAGGCCTGCATGCACTTTACCCTCCCCAGACCTCACAATGTAGGAATACATAGGGTACGTTGTTGTTGTTACATCTTTACCACGGATTAGTCCACCATTTGTCACATTCTTCACGCGTTAAAACCAACCACATGCATCTCCAGCAAACTCCAAATAAATTAACTTAGTAATACAATTTACTTTTACTAATCTCACGCTGCGGATGTAGATTGGACCACAGAATCACTAATAATGACAGAGAGCAAATATTCAAACAAATTGAGATGAGAGGGGAAACATTAAGATGACCTTCTAGCATAAGGTTGAAATGGATAAAGTATGTGCCAGGAACTTGTACCCTTCTCTCTCTTTCTTTCTCTATTCCCCCCCCTCCCCTCTCTCTCTCTCTCTCTCTCTCTCTCTCATACACACACACGCACATCTTTTGGAAATCGCTTGGTATATGAAAATTCATTGGAAATTACGAGCATGTCAGCATTTTTCAGACACCATTGCGGATTTTTAAGACCAAATCAAGGTCTGTCAGAAGCATTTGATTATGGACAATGGGAAGTTATACAACCTAAATTATCATGATTCAACACTATCTCCCCCCGTGTTAGAAGGAAAGACACTATCTGCACTCAATATCAGCACCAACGTTGCAAAAGACTTTTGAACATTCACTTTTCCCTTAAATTTTCTTCAAGCAAATACACAAGTTTTATACTCCGTTAAAATAGATGGTAATTATTAAGATAAGGTAAAAAAAAATCAGGGTATAGTAGATTAAACAATTTGCTCCTAGACTAGATATAAGTCAGGTGTATATGAAATCAAAAGGATTTTTGATGATAAATTACTGTTTGTAATATCATATAAACGCCTAAGGTAAAGAAGAGTAGTAGTAGTAGTAGAGTAGAAACAAAACAAACATACATCGCTGTCGTGGAGTTGTTGAAAGTACTTTTCGAAGACATGCTTATCGGGTCGATGTTCCCAATCATCGGAATCATAGTCATCAATCCCGTAGAACTTAATCTGCTGTTTTTCTCGCATCTCGTCATTAAAGTCATTGTTAACCTTAAATTTCTTCTTCCATTTCTTCTCCGAGGACGAAGCCGACACGATTTCCGATCTAGAGTACGACGTTATCGATTTTTCACCCTCCACCACAGTTACACATGCAGACGGCGTCGCCATAGTTTCAGACAAGGTCGAATCGGTGCTCGATCGCGCTTGCTAACCAACCCTAAACCAGCGTGGTCCACACATTAATGAGCAAAATCCTTTTCCTTTGGGAACTGAATTTGAGTGCAATACGAAAAGGGGATTTTACCGGGATTGTTACACAAATAGCATGTAAGATTTAATATTTATTTTTTAGGTAATATATATATATATATATATATATATATATATATATATATATTTAATTTAGTAGCCGATACATAATTTCATAATATTACGCTCATACGTATCGGGCCACTAATTCTTCGTAGCAACTATACAATTCACTTGCTTTAAGGTCCTATATATATATATATATATATATATATATATATATATATATATATATTGAACCTACGATAATTACATCGTTGCGATTCACAGTTAAACAATGATTCACAGCACGAAACATAAGAAAATTAAAACACGGCATGTAACAGAATTATCAAAACACGACATAGCAGGATTGTCAAAACACGACATGTTACAGAATTGTCAAAACATGACATGTACCAGAATTGTCCAAAACATACAATGTACCAGAATTGTCAAAAAAAAAAAAAATGTACTAGTAGTTTAATACAACTTCTGCATCAGGTGATGCACCTATTCTGAATGCTCAATTACTGATTTAAGAATTTCATAATCTTCATACGCCAATGCCTCGATTATGATTCTCATAAGAGCCGGAGACTTTGCCAGAAGAAGCTTCAACAGTTGCATGTGAGGATTTGTCCATCAAATGCTCCTAATCACAATTATACTGAGGTTGTTGAATATTGTTTCTCCAAAACTTCCTTCCAAATCAATATTATCCAGTGCTATAGGTACATCACTATTATCCACCTAAGAAATAATTAAAAAAAACTACAAATTTAAATGACTATCGGAGGTATAAAGAAGCCACTACGTAATGAGAACTTAAGAAGATAACCGAATGATTAAGTAAGAACCTTGATTTTCATATATTCTAAATATGGGAAGCTTCTCATCAAACACAAAGCAAAGGCGACGGAATACAATTCACTCAGATAAAGACCAGAGAGGTAAAGATTTTTCACACAGTCAACACGAAAGGGAAGATTAGTTGGTACTTCTCCTGCACCTGTAGCCAACAACTAGAAAGAACGTCCCAAATTAAAAGGATGGCTCATAGACCACAATATATTCCATCAATGAAGATGCACTAGACTGAAGTTATGAAGCACATTTACCTTGAGACTATAGTTATCCAAATGGAGATGTTCCACCGAACAAAAAGACTCAAGAACCCTAGTATAGTGAGGTTTTGATTCCAGGAAAATGCCTCCCCTTAAAGCAAGCGATACTTGTGCCAGAAGAGGAATAGTTTTTAAACTGATAAACCATACTCTGCCTGTGAAGTCAAGGGACTTCAATTTGGGGGCATTAATTTCAATGAGACCACTGAAATTATCTGGAAGCAGAAGCACCAATTGCTCGAGCAACGGGCAATGAGAGATTAAGCTTCCAAGCAATGTGGACGAGATTGTAACATTGTATAGCTTAAGGCAAATTAACCTATCAAAACCTATGTAGGCTGGTGGATGAGATATAAAACAATCTTCAGAGATAGATGCCTCAAATGCACACATTTGAAAAATGAAGCAGGCAATTTGTATGGTTTCCCCTTGATCGGAAATTTAAGATTAAGATTTTCAATACCATTTTCATAGAGGAACCCTATCAACTGTCTAATATAAAAAAACTCCTCCAAATACGGAATTGAGACT